AGAATATTCGGACTTTATTCACATAATTTTTACGACTTGATTCTCGTAATTTTATGACTTCATTCTCATTGCAACGATATTCTCAGAATATTCGGACTTTATTCACATAATTTTTACGACTTGATTCTCGTAATTTTATGACTTCATTCTCTTTGCAACGATATTCTCAGAATATTCGGACTTTATTCACATAATTTTTACGACTTGATTCTCGTAATTTTATGACTTTATTCTCGTAATTTTACGACTATTCTAATAATTTTATGACTATTATTAATGCCACTTTATTCTCAGAATATTATGACTTTATTCGCATTATTTTTACGACTTGATTCTCGTAATTTTATGACTATTCTCGTAATTTTACGACTATTCTTGTAATTTTACGACTATCCTTGTGACTTTTTTTCTTGTAATTTTATGACTTAATTCTCTTTGCAACTATTCACATGATTTTATGACTTTATTCTCGTAATTTTACGACTATTCTAATAATTTTATGACTATTATTAATGCCACTTTATTCTCAGAATATTATGACTTTATGCGCATAATTTTTACGACTTGATTCTCGTAATTTTATGACTTCATTCTCTTTGCAACGATATTCTCAGAATATTACGACTTTATTTAAATAATTTTACGACTTGATTCTCGTAATTTTACGACTATTCTCGTAATTTTACGACTATTCTTGTAATTTTACGACTATTCTTGTAATTTTACGACTATCCTTGTGACTTTTTTTCTCCTAATTTTATGACTTTATTCTCTTTGCAACGATATTCTCAGAATATTATGACTTTAGTCACTTAATTTTATGACTTTATTCTCGTAATTTTACGACTAGTCTCATAATTTTATGACTATTATTGATGCGACTTTATTGTCAGAATATTACAACTTTATTTGCATAATTTTTATGACTTGATTCTCGTAATTTTATGACTTAATTCTCTCTGCAACGATATTCTCAAAATATTACGACTTTATTTAAATAATTTTATGACTTTATTCTCGTAATTTTATGACTAGTCTTGTGACTTTTTTTTCTTGGAATTTTATAACTTCATTCTCGTTGCGACTTTATTCTCAGAATATTACGACTTTATTTACATAATTTTTACGACTTTATCCTCATAATTTTACGACTATTCTTGTAATTTTAGGACTATCCTTGTGACTTTTTTTCTCGTAATTTTATCACTTCATTCTCTTTGCAAAGATATTCTCAGAATATTATGACTTTATTTACATAATTTTATGACTTTATTCTCGTAATTTTACGACTATTCTCATAATTTTATGACTATTATTAATGCGTCTTTTTTTTCTCAGAATTTTAAAACTTCCTTCTCGTTGCGACTTTATTCTCAGAATATTCCAACTTTATTTACATAATTTTTACGGCTTTATCCATATAATTTTACGACTATTCTCGGAATTTTAGGACTTTATTCTTGAAATAGAAGAAAGAAAGAAAAAATCTCTAGCCTGGCCCTAAGACTCGGTTTTAAAACTTGAATCTACTTAGACTTAGACAGAATTATTTTGTCATTTTGTACACAAACTTAAATTAAAATTTACAATCTATTTACAGACGGAGATATAATCAAAGTTTCCCAAGGCTGGGAGGGTAGCAGACTGAGGGTATATTCATCCTGCCATGGTCAAAAATCCAAAACCTAAAGCAAGGCTTACTGCAGGAAAACTGCATCTAGATGATGTTTTATATTAAAGCATCACAAACCAACATGTGGAATTTGTGAAAGCTGGCATTTCAATTGGACTTAAGGTGGATTTGGTGTCAAATAAAGAATGTGAGGAAAATCACCACATTCTAAATGGGATGAATAGAAATAAAATCTTTTTTTTTCTGGTATTATTCTACTTAATGAAAATACAAAGTCTTTTTTTTTTCTTTTCCTCCTTTCTGCCAGTTAGTTAGGTCGGTTCTGTGTGTGTTCAGACTTTCTTACTTCTGCTGATATTCCTTTATGAGCCGCTTGGCTTTGCTGTATTTGCGCTCCAGGGCCTGATACTGGGCCTGCGTCTCCTTCAGGTGCTCATCCACAGCCTGGCACAGGCTCTGAGCCTCCATCCAGTAGCCTTCCAGCTTCTCCATCCGCTCCTTGTTCTCCTGCAGGGTCTGCTCCAGCTGAGCTTTGTCCATACGCCAGCGCTGCTTGTCCTGCTCAGCATGGTGCAGCTGCATTTTAACAGAACAATCAGACTTTATCAATAGAAATGCTGCTTTTGTAGTTTGTTTTCTGTTGATTGTAAAATGATCAGCTTCAGACTCACCTTTCTCTTCAGCTGCTGGATCTCTGCTTGGGTCACAGCATGCTTTATCTGGAGCTTTACCAAACAAATGAAGAGAATTGCTCATAGTGGTGTTGCTGCCGGGTAGCAGAGCGGAGCTGCGGTTACAGATGAAATTCATTTCTCACCTCTTTATACTTGTGGGCCAGTTTCTCAGGGTCCGTCTCCAAAGGCGACATGTCCTCGTTCTCGGCCAAGTCGAACACCTCGATGGCGCTGGGATACGGCGGGCTGGACTCCTCCTCCTCATCCTCTTCCTCATCTGTGCCATAGTCGCCACCCTGGAGGCGCGGAGAGATCAGACAGGTAGAAGCTGAAAAGGTTCTGATTATTTAAGGCCGGTGTTGGTACCAGATCAGCTCGTGTCCTGCTTCATGCCTGTGACGTTACGCTACATGATTGGCTGAACGTTGCCACATGGTGTAAAACATAGTGGTTGCCCAGACAACGATAATAACATCACGCAAAAAGAGATTTGATCCTTAAGAAACGGGTGCAGTACAGTTTGTCCGAGTGGAGTTAACATATTGACGTCATAAGAAGGGGCGGGGCCCCGAGCAGATCAGGTTCCTACACCTGTGTTCTGTCAGACCAGCATACCCATAATCAATACCAGTGTATCCCTTTAGTTTATATATATTTACTATATCTCTTTAGTTTTGTGAAAAAATTGGGAAGTTTGATCCTAACATTAAAAGTATAAGTTCAATGTTTTTTTTCCTTTTATTTCTCCCAGTGTTCTATCAGATGAGCATCTGACATCAGACCAGCGTATCTATAGTAAATACACATGCACAAGACATCAGATTTGAGTTTATCCCTTTAGTTTTGTACAAAAAATGAACTTTAAACTAGCTTAACGCGCGTATATCCCTTTAATCATTTACAAAAAAAAGATTTAATTACTTTTTGGTGTTTTTTGGATGGCGATCTGACTTTAAAAAGATTTTTTTTGTATATGACTAAAGGGATAAACGCCCGTTGAGGTTTTATAAAGTCTATTTTTTCATATTGCACTTGCGTATTGAATATGGTTATGCCAATCCCCCGAAAGAAAAAAAATTAAATAAATAAAAAATATGGGTATGCTGGTCTGACGACAGGTGCTCATCCTACAGAACACCGGGAGAAATAAAAGGAAAAAAGATTTTAACTTTTAATGTTAGGATCAAATCTCCCATGTATTGACCCTAAATCACCACTAGATGGAGCTCAACTCCAACACTCCTTCATCTGAGCTGAAAGCTGCTTTTCAGGAACCATCATTGTCTCAGAATCAGAAATACTTTAATAATCCCAGAGGGAAATTACTTTTGTTACATGCTCCAGTTACAGTTTTATATAATATATACACACATCCAACTATACAATATAATAAAGATAAAAAACTAAGAATAAAAAGAGATAAAATATATACACATATAGCTCTTCTGTATATATATATATATATATATATATATCTATGCATATGTAAAAACTAAATCCAAATAAAGTGAAAATCCAAGTAAAGTGATAAATCCAAGTAAAGTGATGCGTGGCGTGCAAAAATAGTGCATAAATGTCAATTACAGGGGGTGGGGGACGCTTAAAACAAGAGGTTTCCTGTTAGGTCCCCCCAGGACCTAACAGGAAACCAAACATCATTTAATAATTAAGTACAGATGACTTATTAATTTAAAAAAAAGAGAATATTTAAAACCTAATTTTAGAAAACGGCTTTTTAACCCAAAATAATCTGAGTCATCCCTGATTTGGCTTCCTTTCTAAGCTGCAGCATCATAGATTGCTTTAATGGATAAACCTCCTAATCCCAACCCAAACCAAAGGAACAGTTTTGTTTCTGGACAGCCTGTAACCGTCAGGTTTCCCTCTAAAGCTATTTAGTGGTGCTGATATGTTGATGACATTTTATCCTGTATGCATTAGCAGGGATTTGGGATCTTGCAACTGCAGGGAAATTGGAACAGAGATGGACACATATCCAATTAAAACAGCGTATTTTATATCAAAGTAGTTGATGGCTAATTTTCCTAAACGTTTAAGACTTTAAGTAAAGTTTAACTTCACACTGGAATAACAATCTAGAAATAAGTAAAAATGCCCTAAATTAAGTGTATTTACCCTTAATTTAAGTAGGTTAAACTGATGGTTTGCCAATGGAATGAATATTTTTACTCTTAAAATAAGATAATTAGATAATATGCACGTGAAATAAGACAATGCAATAGTATTTTCTTATGTTAAATGTAAATTGTCTTGTTCCATTTGGCAAAATGTCTCTTTTACCTCCTCAATCCAAGAACAAATGCACTTATTTTAAGAAAAAAATTATTTATCTAGATTTTGATTAATTTCAGTGCAGACCAAAGAGTAGAAAAAGTTCTGGGTGATGGACCCAACCTCTTGCTCGTCCATGTATTGGTTGTAGCGCTGCTCCATCATTTCCCTCTGCCAGCGCTCCTGCTCCAGGGTCTGCTGGATGAGCTGGGCCACTTCGCTCTGCTCGCCCGGCTTCTCTCGCCCAATCACAAACCTGTTGGATCAGGACCACTTTAGAAGATCAAAGACTGGCTTCTTGGAGCCAAAATACAAACAGATCCAATACAAAACTGTCCCTGATGTTCACAATGATATGAAACAGCTCTTAAGTTTTATTTTTAATAACAATCAGAATCCAATCTGTCTTAATTTGTTTTATTTCCTTATATGGAAAACTTACTGTTTCAGCCATCAAACCCTCAACTCTGCCTCTGTTTTATCTCATTGAACTGATCGTCCGAGAGGAAATAAGATGCTGGACAGAAGTTCACAAATGGCTGTCAAATTAAAGCCGGCGTTGGATTGAACTGTCGCAAAGCGCCAGATGGCCTCTGAGCCAGCCTCTGTCGTCTTTTCATTTTCTGCAGCGTTTACGAGTAATTAAATGTTCACCAACGCGCTTCCTGTCCCGCTCCATTTGTCTTCCTCGCAGCTTTTTTTTTTTTTTTTCCTGAACAGGTCAGAGCCACTGCAGCGGATCCATAATGCATAAGCTGATCTGCAGAGGTCTCTGATCTCCATACACTAACAGTTATCCCAGCATCCCCGACCAAAGAAACTTCCTGAATTATGGATGAGGAAACAACAAAAGGTGCCTCAGACAAACTGAGTAAAAAGCTGCAAACAGTATCCTGCTGTTTTAAACCAACACTTCAGGTCCAGACTGTATTTTCTGCAGCTTTAGTTTTGGAACTAAAATAACGCTCTTTACATGGAGAAGGTTATAATCAAGACTAAATCTACAGTCTGGTTAAATGAAACGGCAGGATGTGGGAGAAGTCATTCCTGCTTGTAAGACGGGCTGCGGCTGCATATAAGGAAAAAACATGTCAACAGAGGACAGTAATATAAAGCTGAAAAATAAAGGTTATCCTGAAGAGCTAAAACCACCAAACGGCATCCTCCCAGTGATAAATGTTGACTTTAGAGCCTTAAAGCAGACGACTGCCATTTGGATGTTAAACACACAGCAAAGTTAGGAAAAAGGTCTCTTACTTGACGGTTCCTGAGGTGTTCCTGAGTACAGAGGCGGCAAAGCTTTGGGTGACTCCCACCAAGCTGGTCCCGTCCACCTCCACAATCAGATCGTTCACCTGGATCCTGCAGACATCCAACAGGTGAACGGCCAATGGTTACAAGGTCGACTGCCTGATTAACCAACCAGATCTGAGCCGACAAATTGGCAGGGACAATATTTTGGGCCAATATTAGTGTCGATACGTTCAGCAGCCATGCTTTCAGTTTACATGAGGTGCATCCATTGCTGCTCCCCCCATTTGCTACCCATTATTAAAGTTTTCTTGCATTTGTTTCTGTTTCTTTCTGTTTTATTTAAGACTTTTGAAACATTAGTTATCATTTTATTTTAATTATGAAAATGAAAGAAAAAAGTGGCTCCAAAAAATATGGTCGACGGGAATCTGGTCTCATTAGATCGATGTGAAAATAATCTGATGATTGAAATTAGTCCTGATTTTGTCGACTACCTGTTCAGTCATCATATCCGACGTTCATAACATGCTGAATATGATGTTTTTTTTAAGTTTAAATTAGTGTTGCACCGATGCCAGTATCAGGCGGGGCCCCGATTCAGCACTTAAATGGGGATATCGGTATCAACGATTATCAACAAATAGGGCATCGATACCATTTTGAGAGCCAAAAGTTTGTTCAACTATTGTTACCCATTCCAGGTAGGCAATAAAAAGTTCTACTGGATTTACCTTTTATTAGTCTTTTTCCAAACAGATGGTATCGATATTGTATCGGTATCGGCCAATACTGCATAGCCAGGTATCGGTATCAGGTCCAAAAAATGGCATTGGCACAACACTAGTTTAAATACATGATTGATGCAGTGTTTTAATTTCCACCATGTTTGAGTTTATTTTATACCTGCAGGATGTTACGCTATTTTAATGCTTTTGTTAATTTTTTATGGCAGCATTAGAGTCCAGATTTGACTATTTGACTATAACTAAGTAGGAAATTTACCTTGCAAACCAATCAAACAGCTAAGCACCTGGATGAAACTATCCATCCATCCATTATCTGACACGCTTGTCCCGAGTGGGGTCGCGAGGGGTTCTGGTGCCCATCTCAGGGTTTGTACACCTTTTCCAAAGTCAAAATCAAGCACTTTCAAGATCCATTTTAAAACTTTTTCCAGCACCTTACCGAAAGTGTCGCAATTCAGTATTATCAGTCATAGAGTTATCAATGCTGTTTTAAGGTCTGGGCCTGGCAATGAATTAAAACTTTGTTGTTTTTTTTTGGAACGTTGGCGAGGCGGTACCGTGAGTTTAGCGAGGTGGACGTTTCATTTTCGCGCTCTCCATCATTTTATTTCTCCATTTAATAAACACACGATTCAGTTAGATAGGTATTTGTTGCGAAAGAAATTGTTACAATTTCAAGCATTTTCAAGCATTTCATCCAAAATATAAGCACTTTTTAAACCTTGATAACACAACGTCAAAATTCAAGCATTTTCAAGGATTTCCAGCACCTGTACGAACCCTGCTATCTCCAGCAGTCAATGGGCGAGAGGCGGGGTCCACCCTGGACAGGTCGCCAGTCCATTGCAGGGCAACACAGAGACACACAGGACAAACAACCATTGACGCACACACTCACACCTAGGGAGAATTTAGAGAAGCCAATTAACCTAACAGTCATGTTTTTGGAGTGTGGGAGGAAGCCGGAGTACCCGGAGAGAACCCACGCACACTAAGGGAGAACATGCAAACTCCATGCAGAAAGACCCTGGGCCTGAAATCGAACCCCGAACCTTCTTGCTGCAATGCAGCAGTGCTACCGTCTGAGCAGCCCTGGATGAAACTAATTATTAAAGAAATTTTTATTATTGAATCAAATACCTTTGCTGTTTAGGGTAGCAGATAAGAAAAAAAATGTAATCACTTAATGGAAAAATAAACTGTTCATCTAACTGTAAAACATTTTTTTATGGATTAAATAAAACAAGTTGTTTATAACAAAGGATTTGCTGCTGACATTACATTTGCAATACTGTTAGCTAGAGTTATTTCCTTAATTAAAGATACATCATTTCAACAAATATCTTTTAAAATTGTTTAATTTAGTGAATTTTAATACATGTTTTTAATAGTCGAATCGATAATGTAGAAAATCTGATGATAGACGAAACAAAAAGCAAACTTTTTTGTGGCAGTCCTGGTTTGCTGAAGCATCAACTCTTTACCACAAAACTAAAAATGTTCCATTCACCTGCCATCCCTGTGTGCTGCTCCTCCTTCTGTCACCGTCTTCACAAAGATCCCCAGTTTCTCCAAGCCCATGTCCGCCCCTGCACCCATCCCAATGATACTGATGCCCAAACCATCTCCATCTGAAACATAGAGAGGAACAAAACAATTATTACAGTAGTGCTTAGAACACACAGTAGAGTCAAAAAGTTTTTAATTTGGTCTTTTTTCAATAGCAAAGGGAGCGAAAGTCGTCCGACTTGTAAAAAGTAGGAAATAAAAAATGAAACTGCAGAAACTGAAAGAGTTAAATGATGTAGACGGAACATTAGAGTCGAACAGAATCCTCCACATTATGAAAAAATCCTGGTAGAGATAGATAAAACAATAAAAAATGTATTGCTTAATTCAACAATTAATGATTTCATCATTTTAAATCTAATTTGACTAACAAAACCAGACTTACTTGGGGTGTTATTTAAAAAAAAAAGGGCATTGACACGTCCGCAAGAGAATCGATTCTTTTTTTTTTCTCCGGTCTATTTTTATCCATTTGCTCCTGGACGTAATTTTGACTTCCGTTCTGCGGTGGCGCTAAACCTATTTTGCCCTCCAGATTGACTCGGGCTGCCAGATTGACTCGGGGGCCTGCGCCTTTTGATGACATCATATGGCAACTCCGCCCGTCACTATATGGCAACGCCACTCGTAACGATATGGCAACTCCACTCAAACAAACTACATTGCGCCCGCGGTCTCTATTTATTGTCGTTACAAATGCAGACCGCAGGCTCAATGTAGTTTGTTTGAGTGGCGTTGCCATAATGTGACGTCATCGGGAGGCGCAAGGCCCATGGCGAATTCGGTGACGTCATCGGAAGGCGCAGGGACCATGGAGAATTTCTTCGTAAAATTGTCCGTTTACAAACCGCAATCCCGCTTTCGAATAAAACCTACACCCCGCTATAATTACTTTAGTAAGCTGTCCAGACCAATCAAAATGTTTTGCGCAATTGTGCAAACGTTAAAACAATTATGTATTGTGACGTCATCAAAAGGTGCAGGCCCCAGAGTCAATCTGGTACCTACACCGGGCCTCCAGGGGCTGCCAGGGGACTTTAGGGCGGAGCTTATTGGACAGAGAGGAAGGCTTTGTTCTGTCTTTACTCTCAGCTGATATGGAGTAATTTCTGTTCCGTTATTTTAGCAGCAAAGAACACCATTTATAAATGTAAAAAAAAGGAAATCCAGAAATGAAACATTGAAAAATTTTTTCATTAAGAAAAAAAAAAGTTTTTCGGAGTAACTTTGCTGTTTTCTCAGGCTTTTAAAATGATCTTCCTCGCTTCCTTCAACCACTACCCTCTTTCCGCTTTCAGTGTTTTTTGATGCAAGGCCTTTCAGAATCTAGAATGCAGAGGCATTATTATTTTTCAGTTAATGAGGTTTTCATAGGCCTAGGTGGAATACAGCTTTGCTACTTCTGGTATTTGCTGTTGTTTCTCAAATAAAATGCTTAACGATATTACAGCTTTAATTGATTTAATTCAAATCTGAAACATTGTCTAGCCTGTAAGGTAAAAGAAGAAATTAACCAATTAATCGAATCGTATCGTGGTTTATTCTTGAGTATTGAAAATAATCGATTCGTTGGGTCAGGAAATTGATACTGAATCGAATCGCCATGATGGGTGTGATTTACACCATTAGTAGGACAAAAACAGGCTTCATCCTTTATCCTGTCTACTGGTAGTCATGGAAACCTGGTGACTCCAGCTCTCATCCATCACAGTTCCAGCTGTTATTTTACCTTCCTAAAGGCCAATTTAAAAAATAGCAAAGTAACAATAATTTGACAAGCAAACTAAACGAGGATTTATTAAAAGCAGTTAATTAGAGAAAAATTTATTGGACTCTTATAAAATTGAACACGCATAAATATCATAAATGAATACTTTTGATAAAATCAGATAAAATGGCAAACATGATGCAAGAAATTAAAGATCGTTGTATAAAACAAAATAAATTTTATAATATTAAAAACCTTCTATATTCATCTAAAATACCCTCTATAATAATAATTAAAAAAAAAGAAAATGAATCCGCTACTGGATTAAAAGTAAAGATAAAATTATTTTATTGGAATTTTTAGAGCTGCAGAAAAGAAATCTTTGCATAATGTTTTTGTTTTTATCAAAACAGGTTTCTCTTTTAAATGAGAACCTGGATCTGGATGAGACAACCTGTATAAATGAAAATAATAAAAGCTAAATTTATTCTCTTTAGTTTTAACACATGATGAAAAAAGGCGTCAATAGCTTTCTAACTCCCTTTGTACGTCTTCTTTAATCCTAAACCTTTGCAGTTTTAGACTCCAAAAGACGTGTTGAAACATCTTTACTGTTAACCAGTTTTAAAGGAATAGTACACCCAAAACATGATTAGCCTTCATTTTCTACTCACCCCCATGCTGAACAACACTCTGGAGTACTT